AGGGACTTCTGCCACCGACTACCAAGCTACCTACGACCGACTTCAACCACAGGGCACTCTCCAGCAAACCCTCAAACCGTCAACATTACTTTTTCAACGCAAGCTTAGTTTTCAATAAAAATAGTTTATTTGTACCGTTGAGAGAGCGTTTTATTCTTGCTGTACAGCGAAAACAACCTCAAGTAGTGACCCCGACGTGATCCACTTGAGGGTGCACTGATATATAGAGTTCCATTAAAAAAAATCTTTAATTTAGTTATTTCCATTATTCAATTGTTTTTTCTAATACTGTATTATAGAAATTCATAAAAAAAGATAAAACTTTTGTATTAAAAACTTTTTTGTAATTCCAATAATAAACTCACAATAAGTTGTCAGATTATAGTGACTAACCCTTTATACAGGGTGTCCGGTAAGTACCTCCTAATCTCTCGGGAGTGTATAGGGGAGGTCAAAATAAAACTAGTCCTTCCTATAATTTTTTTTCCTAATGTGCCCCCTAACAGAGTTATGGGGGGTCAAAGGGGTACCTAGAAATTAACGTTTAGGGTTATAACTTTGAAACCACCCTGTATATTTTAATAAAATTTTCGTACGTTGTATTACACATGGAGCTCTACGATTTGATGCTAAAATCAACTTTTTGCTATTATCAGGTGTCCAGAAACGGACTGGCCCTATCACAATTTTTCTCAAAATTTTGACAGAAGTAATTTTATCAAACTGAAAATATTATTATTAGATACTCTGAAGGTTTTTCTTTAAAAATGGTACTCTTTATTTATTTCGAAAAAATGAACGGTTTGCGAGATAAATCGGTTTTGAAAAAAATTGGTAACAAATACAACAACAATTAAAATTTATTTTTTTACAATAAAATCATTCCCGCTAGTGCCAGCCTACAGATTCACCATAAACATTTACTGGTGGTGAATTAAGGGAATGAATAATGCCGTTTCTTGTAAAATCAACATCTATGACCAAAATACATCTACAAATTATTATTGCTCTTGTCTCCATGGAGTTCTTTTCTATTGTTTTCGTTGTTAGACCCTGTTGATTTTAAAGTACTTGTCAAAGGCGCGTGACAGAATAAAAATTCAATTTTATTGTGGTATTCGTTTTAAGCCGTTAGAAATAACATTTAAAAATGGAAGAATATTCCTGTGCAGAATATGCTGATATGCACCTAATTTATGGGGAAGCATTATGCAACTCCGTGGAGGCAAGAAGACTTTATGAGGAAAGGTTTCCGGGTCGACATTTGCCGAGTCCAAAAACTTTTGAAAGAGTTGATCGTAGTTTAAGAGAAACAGGTAAAAAAAAATAGTGAAAAACGTTAGTGAAACTAATTTCTTCCGAATCCTTTATTTAGGAAGCTTTTTGCCACGCCGTGGTGGAGCAGGAGCCCCGAGGAGAGTACGAGACCCTCATGTAGAGGAACAAATATTGGAAGACGTTGCTAATAATCCTTCAAATAGCATAAGGAAGCTTGCGGCGCAAAACAATGTTACAAAATGGGCTGTACATGAAACTCTGAAAGAACAATTGCTTTACCCGTACCACATCCAAAAAGTACATGCTATGTCTCCAGATGATTATCCAAAAAGACTTCAATACGCCAATTGGTTTTTACAGCATCATATTCGGAATCATAATTTTGGTACATCTATTTTGTTCACCGATGAAGCAGGTTTTACAAGAGACGGCATAATTAATTCGCATAATCTACATGTCTGGGATGAAGAAAACCCTCACGCTTTAGTTCAAACTCGCTACCAACAAAGGTTTATGGTGAATGTGTGGGCTGGCATTATCGGGAATCATTTGATTGGTCCATTTATTCTGGAGCAAAGACTTAATGGTGCTCTTTATTTGCAATTTTTAGAGGAAAATCTAAATATTTTGTTAGAAGAAGTGCCCCTTCAAATAAGAACTGAAATGTGGTACATGCATGACGGTGCACCACCCCACTTTGATCGTTTAGTACGTCAACATCTGACGAATGTTTTTGGTGATCGATGGATAGGTCGAGGCGGACCTGTATTATGGCCACCTAGGTCGCCCGACCTAAACCCATTAGACTTTTTTCTGTGGGGTCATTTAAAAAATAACGTTTATTCAACACCCGTAAATAGTAGAGAGGAACTTCTGCTGAGGCTAACACAGAACTGTGACCATCTCCGCAATAATCACGGAATATTATTTCAAGTGCACCGGGAAAACATTCGTAGGATTAGAAAGTGCATTGAAGTACGGGGTGCTCATTTTGAACATCTACCGAAGTAACATTTAGGTACCTTTGTTCATTGTTGAATGTTCTTTGTTGCATGTCTTGTAAGTAAGTTATTTTTCAAATGTTATTTTTAATTGGTCACTACTTGCTCATAAAGTATAGCCAACCCGTTCAAAGATTTCTGGACTTGATAAAGTTAAAGAAATTAAATGCATGAAATAATATGTAAAAAAAATAAATTTTAATTGTTGTTGTATTTGTTACCAATTTTTTTCAAAACCGATTTATCTCGCAAACCGTTCATTTTTTCGAAATAAATAAAGAGTACCATTTTTAAAGAAAAACCTTCAGAGTATCTAATAATAATATTTTCAGTTTGATAAAATTACTTCTGTCAAAATTTTGAGAAAAATTGTGATAGGGCCAGTCCGTTTCTGGACACCTGATAATAGCAAAAAGTTGATTTTAGCATCAAATCGTAGAGCTCCATGTGTAATACAACGTACGAAAATTTTATTAAAATATACAGGGTGGTTTCAAAGTTATAACCCTAAACGTTAATTTCTAGGTACCCCTTTGACCCCCCATAACTCCGTTAGGGGGCACATTAGGAAAAAAAATTATAGGAAGGACTAGTTTTATTTTTACCTCCCCTATACACTCCCGAGAGATTAGGAGGTACTTACCGGACACCCTGTATATAGGAACTAATGTCTAGAGTTAATTTTTAATGATCGAAATGCACTTTAGTCCGTAGAATATGCCTTATCTTCCATGGGAATCTCCTGAACTATATGCTAAAAATAATTAACAGTGGATGTGGAATTTCGTTGATTTGATCGATGTGAAATCTTGTATGGGTTGGTAGTAGCTGCAATGTGTATGGTTTCCGGAAAATTTTTATTAGTCTAATGAGAGTGTATTGTAACTTTTAATAACCGGTACTAAACATATGTTAGAAATTCTCTAAATTTCACTCTACAACGTTCCCCTTTTATTGTAAGAAATAGTAATCTCCGATCTAACGTAGTAATTGTACGATCTCGACATCGTACAAGAAACTTCCTCGATTTCATGTTAATTGTTGCGGTTTTTAGTTATATTTCATTGGTCGGTAATTGCCAGGTATGCATTTGTTTGATTGAATATTGCCGCAGTTCTGAAAAACGAATAGAAAATAACTATTCTTTTATATATATACAGTGTGGCCCATTTGTTTTTGTAAAATCTTTAATGTGCGATTTTTTTAAGATGTAGAGCTTCATGAAGTGTGCTTTGTGAAAGAAAATGAGCGTGATCTCACAAAATCCAAGGCGTACTGCGTCCGTTTTTAGCAGTACAGTTCTAACATTTCATATAAGGGATTTTTTGAGAAAAAATATATTTACTGGATTCATATCTTCCCAAATTGGGGCAATACCAAATTTTATCAAAAAATTTAAATAATAACGATTTTGTAGCCAAATCAAAAATTCACACGTCTTTACTTTTTTTTATAAATTTGTTGTTGATATCAAGTTGTCCATGAAGCAAAACAAAAACAAAAAATGAAATTAATTAAACTCTCGTAATGTGGTATTATAATAATTATTATTAATCTTAGTTTTGACAAATTAAAAATAAAATAATGAAACTGAAACTAAAACCTTAAATAATTATATTCTTGTCACTTCTATCAATCCACCATTTCCTTATATGCACTCTCAGTTCTTTTACGTACGTTCGTAATTACTTTTTGTATTTGGTTTGGGGTAATTTCTACACAGGCTTTGATAGTTTTCTCGGGTTACCTCTCACTCTTAATGGTCAAAACTTTTACAGTATTCGTATTTTTTTTAAAACGAGCAGCAACATTGAAATGGTCGTTATTTAAAAAAAGTAGTGTCCCTTGACAAAATCGCTTACAGAAAGCCATTCTTGAGAAAAATGGCATTATACACATATGCAAATAATGCTATTTTTCTCAAAAATGGCTTTCTGTAGGCGATTTTCTCAAGAGACAATATTTTTTTTAAATAAAACGACCTTTTCAATATTGCCGCCCGCTCTAAAAAAATACGACCACTGTAAAAGTTTTGACCGCTAAAAGGGAGAGGTAACCAGAGAAAACTATCACCCAGTATATCGATTTAACTAAAGCTTTAAGAAATAATATGCAATAATGTTTCAAATAACTGTACCAAATTTTAACGCGATTGGTAAAAGGGTTATGAAGTTATTAATTAAATTAGTTTTATTTTTGACAACTTTGAAGGCTTGTAACTCAGAAACCAAAAATTTTTTATTTAACACTTTTTTCGTAGATCTTTATTTATCGTCGTGAATGTGCAGTCAAACGTTGTCGGTGAAATTGGCGGACACCTTGTATTGTTATGCATCATGAGTAACTCAGACTTAAACAGTCCAAAAACAGTTTCTAGTTTTTCCAGTATTGCAATTTAAATATGCTTGTGTATTATTTTCCGGTACGAAATGTTTTAAACAAACTTTTTAAAGGAAAACCAACTGTTACAGTCTAAAAAAACATGCAGAAGCTCTGCATGCACATCTAGCACTTCCCAAGATCTGACAATAGCATCGAAAACATTTACTTTTCACCTCCTACACCGAATCAGATCCCCGGAGACCGCTTCGCGAGGCGCCGCGCCGACGAATTACACCGCGCCACCCCTTAAGGATCCACCTAGAGCACCATCACCGCAGGAACCACCGACGGGAACCCGTTGGGGGGGAGCCCCAAGCCTATATAACCCGGCGTCCGCGACTGGGTTCTTCAGTTGGTACTCGAAAGTTCACCGAAGTGGTCTTCTTGGAGGTCAGCAGTTCCATAAAAAAAAATGAAGTATTTCGTGGTGTTCGCCGTTTTCCTAGCCCTCGCCTATGCCGCTGAGGAGAAGGCCGACGCTGAGAGGCCCAAGACTTTCAAGAGGCTGATTCCCGCCGACGTTCTCAGAGGTAAGTCCGTAAGGACGGCGATCCCGGGGAAGAGGTGTGATCGTGCGCGGCTTGCTGGTGGTGCGACGGGCGGAGGGCGGAAGGATTTCCGCCAGCGGTAGCGCGAGAAGTGCGAAAAAGGGTCGTGGATATCGTCGGGTCGTGGTATCTCGCGAAAGGATAAAAGTATAATACAAAATTGATGCATTTTTGTTTAAGTTTTACGAAAAATTGAAGTAACTAGTACAGATCTATGTGATAAATGAATAAAATCTTAAAATTTTATTAACTTACCAAAATCTAAATTAATAAATACCCAAGTACAAATAATATTTTAAATCGTATTAATTTATGTATATACAGGGTGACCAAACATGAAGCCTCGTATTCTTTGGTGAATTTTATGTAAACATTGTCCAAAATCTCAGGGCTTTTCCTAAAATTTACATGCTCCAGTGGCGGAGATACAGGGTATCGGTGGCATATTTTTCTAAATAAAATAGTACGCCACTACTTTACTGTAACAACCATGATATTTTCGGATTCGTCCTTCAATTTTCTACAAATTACTACTCTTTTATGTTTTTCGAAAAAAATCAGATTTTCGAGTAAAACTTAAAAGACCAACTGAAAGCAGTGGCGTACTATTTTATTTAGAAAAATATGCCATCTCCGTCACTGGAGCATGAAAATTTTAGAAAAAGCCCTCAGATTTTACATAAATACATGTGCCCTTTTTGTCACTTTGACATAAGAGACAGGTTCTTACAAATACTTGCGAAATTAAGGATTTTCTCACAGCTCAATTGCTACGAAACTGATACTTTTTCTTTCTTAAGCCGAAAATGCTATTTTTCGAAAAGTTTTAAAAAATGGTGACATTTCCCAAGTGTCAAAAACACACTTTACTTAATTGGAATGCAAAATCCTTTTTTGCTTCAATGATATGACTAGGTACTTATTTTTGAACATTTTTATTGAATACATTTTCAGATGTTTTCCTAATTTTCCTTTTAGTATGCCACATTATGTCTATTTCATATTGGTCTTAGGTAAAAGTTGGGATGCTGCATTTTCTGCGATTTTCGATATTTGAAATGACGAATATCCTTCATCATTTGAAAAATCCGTTTCACTTTCCACTTCATTCATATTTAATATTAGAGTCGTAGTATTTTAACACTAATTGTTTCTTAATATTCTCTATTTAAATATTGTTTCTAGACCCAGAATCAAAAATAACTATTTCGTCATTTGAAACGAAGAAGAAATGTCATCATTTTGATTTTTTACAACTAAATTTCACAATTAGTTAATTTAATTTCAACTGAACATGTTTATCTAAAATCTTGGGTTGGTGGTCGATAGGTTCGAGGTGTCTGTACTTGAATCGACGAATGCCACTGTTGCGGGTTCGAATCCCGCGACCGTAAGACCGTGGATCAGCTATATTCGTAGGGTGGAAGATGGCCTAGTGAATAATAATATGCGGCCCCCTCTCCCGCACAAGTCTCCGACTTCTGGGTTTAGATTAGTGAGGGGTAGATATATTATTATTATTATTATTATTATTATTATTATTATTAAAAATATACAAAGAAATAAAGTGAAGACATCTTGCTTCACTAGTGGTAACTTTTATGCGACAGCGACCTTTTTCAATTGATGTGTTGCTATGTGGAAATAACTAAAGAAGTGATAATTTGCTGTAATTGAATTTACTTTTTATAAAATTGAACACCAAACACTACTTTTTTCGTTCACGCATCTTAAGGTTGACTTTGAAAAAAAAGAAACCCGCAATAAAATAGTTGAAGCTAGTTTGATTTAGACGAAACAAGCGGTATATTTAGCTACCAATTTTATTTGAGGTCCAGTGAAAAAAATCATGGTCAAATAGTTGATAAATTTCCACTATAGAAACTAAAAAGTATGCTTTTCTATGGTACCTTAATTCAATTACAGTTTAGACCTTCAATTTTTTTAATATCTTGCCCTTTTTTGAGCAAAGCTGTTAATAAAACTCGGCTATTTCTATAGTAAAAACATATTTTATTTAATACTATTACTTGTTCTAGAGCAAAAACTGATAGTATAAAACAAAGTACAAAAAAATGCATTGTATAAAATTTTCTATTCCTCAAACGTTAAGGCTATTATATTTACATATTTTCCATCTCTGTTGCGTAAATCCTCATTAATATTCAACATTTCCAACAAAATATATAAAATACCGCACCTTCGAGGTTATTTTTAAAAAATTACAGAAAACAAATTTTAACTAGGTTAAATTCCACTTTTGTTTACAAAGTATTGCTCAAAATAGTGTCGCAAGAACCGTTACAAAATTTACATGATTAAGTATACATTGTGATACCCTTGTAAGTAATTGCCAAATAAAATTCTCCGATAAAGAGGCTTTGTTAATGACTACAATCATTCCAGGTAAAAATCCGGTATGCAAGTTTTGTTCCGATCACCGTTAACAATTGTTTCGACCTTTTAATTATTTATTTTTAACGTTTAAGCGTGGGAAATACCTGAATCAAGAGGTGTCTCCTATCTTACAACCGATGCATTAAAATGAGCATCGCGGGAAAATTACGTGATCTTTGTCTCTACGCCACTGGGTAACATTTTCGACGCCAGTCCTTTTAGGAATATCAAATAGCTGTATTCAATTATTTTAGAACGTCAGCTAATTTCGAATTAATTCATCTGAGGAGTTACCAAACCGTTTCAAAGTAACCAGTCATTATTTCAATTTAATTGAGGTCTCGTAGAATTTATGACAGCATGCAATTTTATACTGCAATTGTGCATTTAATAGCGTGCTTCTATAAAAGACCAGGACTTGATACGTAAACCAAAAGTAAGCGGCTAACTTTCACTATACGCGATAGTTCAAATGTCAATGATTGCTCTGCTATAAAGAAAAGATTATCCAGCAAATTTATTTAAATAAATTAGCTTGTAAAGTATTTCGCTTGCTAAGTCCACGGTTTATTGTTGCCGGGTTCGTGTCTATTGCATTATATAACAAAATTCAGATTAATATATATGATAATGCTTAAAGGAAAGCTCGGCAGTTTGCATAAAAAATTAGGTTGAGTTATTTGGGCGTAACAGGAAGTTACTGGTTGCAGATGTCTTTGCAAGTTGATAACTTTACTTTTTCGAAAACTGCCGACATTTTCGTTAAATTTTCAGTTGATAAAGTGAGTTTTTTTATCACCTAGCTGCAAAATACTTTTATGTTCTAGAACGCCAAAGTCCTTTTCGTTCTAGAACATGAAACAAATGTCAAAATAATTTGTCCTTTCTTCAAACTTATTTATGATTTTATTAATTAAACAATATATATTTTAAGTAATATAACATTTCAATACAAAACAGTCATAACTATCCTAAAGAGGACGATTACAATTAATTTTGCACTACCTGTAAATTGAAAGTACCGATATTGCAGTGAGTTAAATTTGTCAGATTCAATGCTTGGCATTGGCTATTGGCAAGTTCCGTTAGACTCTGATGAAGATGGTAACCATTTATTTGCGATTGAAATTTTATTTTGTATAGAATTTCTATATATGTCTCCGCTACCGTACTAGAACGCCACCCCCATGTCGTTTAATGGTGGTAATATCGGCCCCTGCATCGGCTAACAGTGGCGGAAAAATCACAAAACATCTCTGAATATAAGTTTTGGATACAATCATTGATTAATTATTTGGGTAATCGAAATATTCAAGATCTTATTGTCTGTGTGCTTATGTCTAAATTAAAATAAATGTTGCCTTGAATGTGCAAATTGTTCGAATGGAAAGGCTGACAGCGCAAAAAATTAATAGAACCATGTCAACAGGCAAGTAATTTTAGTGATTGTTTTCGTAATAGTTAATAACAACAGTTGTAGACCAGGAAATATTTCTCCTGTTCGGTCAAGTGTATTTAGTTCTCTATTCGAATGTTCCTCTTCCTATCGATTAAATCTGTTATTTGTACGAAGAGCACAACTGCTAACCGTTTGCTCTCCGTATCATCCTGTGCACGAATACAACCTAGTGTTGGTGAAACCGGACGACAGCGAAACAAGTAGCTCACCTTTTCCTCTTGAATACATTAATAGCTAATAAGCATCAAGTGGGTCAAGCTTACATGTCGAGAGGTTTATATTCTAATTCGAACATTTGTATGATACTACCGCGTTGAAGTCGTCTTACCGGTAGTATCTACCTCACAAAGTTAAAGGTTGCGTAATCACAGCGCTGATAGTCGAAAACTAGTCTAGTAGAACGGTAGATGCAATCACGAGGTTTCTAAGGGTTTACGTAAGCCTTTCCTTGTTCAGGTGAAACTGGGTTTGGTATGTGAGAATGGATGGTTGGAATTTTTCCGCGGAATGTGCTAGAAACGATATCTGGCGTTTTAGGAGCATTAGAGTCATTATTTGTCTGTAAAAGTTATAGAATTCATTTATCTAATTGCTTCATCGAAATATACCGCGATAGTTTATAACAACATTTTTCACAGTTACTTAAAGGATTTAAAACTATTCTACATGGGCGTAGATAGGGGTCAGGTGTGTGCACGGCCCACCCCAGAAAAAAAGATCTAATTTTATAGTCTTTGTCCTATCGCTAAGTCGGTGACTGCGAATCAATTCAAAACTTGTTCAAATTTTATATATCGGGAAGTTGCTGATTTCTGAGAGCTTTTTCGAGCTTATAGCACTGGGCTCACCCCAAGCAACAATTGTAGCTACTACGCCCATGCTTATCGATGTAATAAATAGCAATTTATTTATGATAATCTAACCCTGTGTAATTTACAAACCAAATATTTTGAATATACATCGATTTACAGTTATACAAAAACATAGGTACAAATATGTAATCTATGTTTCGATCTATTTTGCAGGTTAAAAAACAGTCATAGAAGCTAAAGTGCATTATTTAACCAATTCCGACTGATCAAAAGCCACTTTAGTCATGTAACATATGATTGATTTAATAGCAGAA